TCTATGATTTGCTAATCTGTCAACACATGTGGGGTAAACAATGATATACATTCTGAGCATACTTGTCAACCCTCCCGATTTTCGCGGGAGACTCCCGATTTCATTGCCCTCTCCCGGTTTCCTCCCGGGGTCATATTTCTCCCGCATTTCTGACAAAATCTCCCGATTTCTGACTGTTTCCACTCGGACTTTAATACACTACACCATTGTTTGGTTTCCATGGTAACACGTGTCTTTAGTAGCGCGCGAGAGGGTGAGGCAGATATTCACAGAAAACAGAACAAGAATCGACAACTACTCTACTCTCTGCTCACTCCTTTCCTGTAAAATACAGGTCCAGCCCACATATGCTCCATCAAGGATGGTGCTACAGGCCGCAAGGCAGTGCACTTACAACTACAATAAGCATGTTAATGTTAATCAAACAAATCCGGCGATCCACTAGCACCCCCCCCAATTTTGCATTTTGAAATGCTCCCGATTTCTGAGGTCTAAATGTTGGCAAGTATGAGGGTAGTTCAGTGACAGGTGATAAAACTGTGCGCACCGGAAGTAAAGGGCGTTGTTTATGGTGATGCCGGAGTGAACGAGGACATCCCAACTCATGCCTGAGGACTCCTCTGTCCTCGCTTCTCTTGTCTTACGGAGGCGGAGCTAAGACGCAAGGAAGGGACGCGAGTGAGGGAAAGGAGGAGGTGAAATATTCAATTGAGATGAGCCTTCTGTGTTTTCCTTCTGTTTGATTGAATGAATTTGTTCAACTGGTGCTCCTGTGTTTTTCCTCCCCCCCACCTGTGTCTTTGTGATCACTCTTGCTGGTATTTCTGTTCTGTTTGTCTTTCAGTTGTTGTCAGATCCTTGTCGAAGTTGAATGTGTTCACTATAGAGTTCTGCTCTGTATGTTAAAGATTTGTAGCCTTAAAATAAGCATTTGGAATTTTCCGTCCCTCCAAATGGATTCCAGTTGGCTCTCAGTTGGATGAGTTTCCAAACAAATGGGAGATGTGTAGGTGTAGTTGTTAAAGCCTGCTCTGTTTTAGCAGGTTTGGTCAAGCATCCATTTCCACTTCTCTGCTCACTTGCTAGTTTTCACACGCTCAAAATCACGCCAAGTGGTGTTTGAACTGACTCCGGTGGGTGGGAGGTTGGCATGTTCATGAAATATAACAATACAAATATTAGATCACATTAAATTATCAAGATTCTAACCAACTTTATTGCGGCAATATTTAGACTATAATCAAATAATTTCACTGACAATGCCCCATTGATCGCCACAAGTTGTGTATCCTTTCAAAATAAACGACTTGCTGGAAAGCGGTACGGCAAAGTCTTACGTCACATGCGAGAAAAAGACAAGATGTCGGGCAAACTCTGCTCCGTTTACATGAGGCAGAGGATTATCTTGCAGGAGTACAGAATGTTTGCTTGCTCAGAACTAAACACTGAGAAGCAGCGTTCAGTTATTATGCTCCAAATATCTGGAACAAACTCCCAGAAACCTGCAGGTCCGCTGCAACTCTGACTACTTTTAAATCCAGACTAAAGACTTTTCTTTTTGTCGCTGCTTTTAATTGAACTATTCACATCTTAGACTGCACTGTAACTTTTATCCATGTGTTTTTTCTTTTAATGTTTATTTTATTATCTTTTCTTTTTAATGACTGATTTTAAATGCCATTTTCTTAATGTCTTTCATTTTTTGTAAAGCATTTGTGTTGTGTTATATTATTTAAATAAATAAATAAACTTACCTTGCCTTGCCTTACAAAGGCCTCGTATTAACCTATAGAGTTGAAGGCTAAGTGAATATCAGCATATTAGACCCTCAAGAATATTCACTCTTGCTTTCAATCTCTAATCATCAACCCCCCCCCCCCAGATAAGGACTGTTCCGATTGAATGTAAAGCTTCTTTTCTTTTAGCACTGGGAGACACTACATACTGATATACACCTGAACATCAACAGGAGAGGACTCTTTAAAGTAGAGACACTACATGCTGATATACACCTGAACATCAGCAGGAGAGGACTCTTTAAAGTAGAGACACTACATACTGATATACACCTGAACATCAGCAGGAGAGGACTCTTTAAAGTAGAGACACTACATACTAATATACACCTGAACATCAGCAGGGGAGGACTCTTTAAAGTANTTTTATCTAACAGGTACGTTTCCCACAGATCTTATTTTGAGCTATTTTCTAAAACCCTATGGAGAAATCTCATTGCTTTTTTGTCGAGGGAAAAAATGCGCAGCTTACTTCCGGGTTTTAGTACGAGTAACTGCACCTCGTCTCTCTCTCCTCTTCACACACCACACTTTTCGCGGCACACGTACTTACAGCCAATCAGCTCTGAATTATGTGAGATGACGTATGGTGGGGATGGCAGCACCATGCCCCAATGGTCATTATTTTTTTGCCACACACATTAAATAGGACAATACTCTGAGCATGCGCAGTGTCGTTTTTACAGTCACCGTTCACTTAGACAGTGAGGGTGAGGGCATGATCGGGTTTTGTCCCACATGGCTCTAAACAGCTCAATAGGGACACACTGTAGACACTAATTAGAAGAACACAGACTAAAACAGCAATGTACAGACGAATCAGATGATTAAACATGATCTTAAAATATATTTTATATATTTTTTAATTTATTTTTCGCATTTGTTTGTAATCATTATTTTTAATACTTTCTGCTGACACTAGGTGAGGCTGTGCCCCACCTGCCCCTAATGACCAGTCGCCACTGAGTATGTCAGTTAGTTAGTTAGTTAATTTATAAATAACAAGCTGGAAAATATATAATAATAAAAATAATAACGCAAAGAAAGTCTTTAAGTTTGACTATAAATTATATTTGAGACTTAGCCCTAGTAAAAGTTGTGATACCACAATTATTATTATATTATTGTTGTATTAAATATTGAGTGGATTTTAACTACTTAATGGTCTTCTGGGTAGCTTAATGTTTGTCATAATTACGGTTATTTGTTACATGGTTTTGGTATAAATAATCTAAATCTGCAAAATAATTAAGTAAATAAATCACATTAACTTCTGAAATTATGTAGAAGATCCAAAGTGAGCTATAGGCTAAGGTAGCATACAATAGAAGCCCTGAAGAAAAGTAGACTATAGCTACAAATACTTCAACTAGTACTGAAAGAAGAGGAGTGGGTGTTCCCACTCCTTTCTGTCTATAGGGCCAGATCAATTATGTAGGCATACACTGAAGTTTGAAGAGCTTGCTGAAAATGTCTTAATGTCACATTAAGAAAATGTAAATATCCTGTAGGTCTTTAAATAATAAAGAGATACAGTTATTACTGTGGAATAAGAAGCAACCTAGCTTTTTTGTGATATAGCCTACTGTAGTTCTAGCTATATTTGAAAATGTGTTCAATGGTGTTATTTAATGTAATAATAATCATAATACATGTGTGTGTAAAGTGGCCCAAAAGGATACCTCAGACCTAAGATGACTAATTCATTAGTCAAGTCACTGGTTAATTAAAATATGAATTAAAGTATTTTAAAATATAGGCTAACTACTTAATATGAAAATATGTTAGGGAACACATTTTAAAGTCATATCATTTTTGTTATAACTACTAACTACTTAATATGAAAATATGTTAGGGAACACATTTTAAAGTCATATCATTTTTTTATAATGTCTGCTTATTGTCCATGTTTATTTTTAAAAGTAGCAATTTTTTAATTATTTGTTTCTATTTTCCTGAAATATTCCTAAAACTTGAATTCCTCACTCCCTAAATGCTGAGTCGGGAACATGCGCAGAGCAAACGAAAAGGCGATGGTGCTTTAATTACTGCTGACGTCAAGTTAGCCGGAGAGCCTGCCTGTGACAGGAAATGGACGCCTTTGCTTCAGCATAAAACACAGTATATCACTTGAACCTATATGGGTAAAGAGAAGATACATAACGGTAACATTTAATTAAATGTTTTGGTTCACAGTCACACTATTATATTTAATTAGGAGTTTCCTGTACCATATAGTTTAATTTAAAGGCACATTTACATTACAAACAGCGAGAACATAAACATACAAACCTACATCTTATCAAAAAACTATAAGTGCAACATATTGTTTGTATCTAAAAACATAGACATCCCTGAAATGTTATAGAGTGAATTACGTGATTAAATGAAAAAATGGAAATACTCAAGTCAAGTAGTAATTGTAAATAATGCTTGAATAATTGTACTTTTCAATTTACATTTCGCAACTGTTCTTCTGTTTAGCTTCGTTTTAAGTGAATTGCTTAACATTTACTTGAGTATCTTCTAGAACGTTTTACATATATCTTACGAATTATATTTAATATAGTGTAGATTAATTAATCTCATTCGACCTCTGGGGGAAAAAAAAGATTAAAAAAAAGACAAATGCCTGCTTTATTTTATTTTGAAACGCGTGACCGGAAAAGCCCGTATTTTTCGTCTCGTGCAGCGCTGGTTTATCACAGTGAGTTGTTGCAAGGTAACTTCCTCCTCCACTCCTGGCTTTTTGCCTTCGTGGATCGGAGTGCGAGTTGTGTGAAGCCGAAGAGAGACAGTGCTTATGTGTAGAGAAACAACGTTATAACATGTATCTCAATGGTTTCTCTCTCCTAAATATCGCGTGAATATTCCACTTGTTTTCACCGCCGGGCAAATGACGGACGATAATGTTGGCGTCATGTAGGCTGTGCTTTTCAGACTTTGGAAAACAAATCCGGTATTGTCGGTGAATTCTCGGGAGATGGTAGAGTAGTTCGACCTGCGCCAGTTTCACAGCCCTCATACAGAAAAACAACCTGCAAGGTAAGTTTAATCACAATGCGTCTAAAATGAACTAGAATATTGCAACTGTATTATTTATGTGGTTGCTTTCACACATTTTGGGAAACGTCGAGAAGTTTACTGATGTGCAGGAAAATGTTTCGTGACGTGCTCTCTCAAAAGAAATCCCTTTGAGCTTTTCTTTGTCAAATCTGGCCTGTTTGTTTTTGCAGCCGCATATTGTATTTACCTTCTCCATTTTAGGGTGTTTGAACAAGTATCTGCATGTTGTATGAATATGATTTAGCAGATGAATAGCTTTCACGCAGCCTAGCCTTTTTTACCGCGTCAAAGAGACGTTTTTTGTAGACTTGTTGTTATAAATGGTGATGAGCTCCAGGCTGGAACACTCTGCTGTAGCATTGTAATTGTCACAATCAAATCAAGCTTAAACATTGCAACTAGTTGTGACTTTGTTAAGACTTATTGTCATGCAAACGGTTTTTGGGAGGGTCGTTCCTGCTTGATCGTGTGTCTCATCATCGCATGCTGAGCACTTTTACATCACAATCGCAGCCCTGGAGGGGGGAGAATAGCCCAAAAACAATGGTGAACACCCATTCTGGCTTTGAGTGGTCTGTGTTTTAATTCAGGAGAAGTTGGCATTGAAACAACATTTTAAATACCACAAACATATTTAATGTACAAGTGTTTGTTGACATGTTTCCTTGTTAGGGAGCAGACCCAACAGGAAGTGGTTTGTGATAAGATTGCAGGGCCAGTAGACCTCCTGATCAGAGGGTGCAAACTTCATTATCAAGGTGTTGAAAACCTTCAGAGATAAATGTCCTGGTTAAAAGATGTGTGAATGGGCATGTCTCCCACTGAAGTGTTCTTCCTCAGAATCAACGATGTGACAATCCCACATACTAATCAGATCTGTTAATTGTGTAATGGATTTAAGGTGACTTGCCCAGACTACTCATTTGAATGTAGATGTATGACACTGACAAAAAGATGACACATTGTTGTATCTAAAGCTGCATTGATTGATCACCTAATGGATACATTCATTGCCAGGATGACACCAACTATTTTATTTCATAACTGATATTACTTTTCTCTGTTTTTATATAATATTACATTGAATATTTTTGACTGATAAAACAATAAACGTAAAGACCATGACTTTTGAGAAACTAGCATGAATATTTCTCATTCATTTCTGATATTTTATAGACACTCGATTAACCAGAAACAAAATCATCAGTCAATCACTAAATTAATTAATAGTTACTTGCAGTTTAATTTAATCAACATGGATAATCCCCTCAAAATGAATTGGACCCCCACCAGTTGAAACAGTCATTCATAAATTGTTGTCTTGAATGTTCCTTTTCCTGGATTACAATAATCATGTAAGCTTTACTTATTTATAAGTGCTTGTTTGTTTATGTGGTTAGTTGGTGATCTGGAGAATGTAACCCCATAGCTGACCAGTCACTGAAGTCAGACCTCAGTGAGGGCGCCGGCTGTTCTCAGAGCCTGCGTCGTGGAGTCTGCTGATAGTGGACTCTGATTAACAGACGACATGCAGTCTCAGGCTGAGATATGATTCAGCTCCAGAGCAGAGCTTTGGTGTTCTGTTCTCTGGAGGTAACAGGCTCCAGCATGTGGTTGCCCACCCAGCCATTGTAGGGTCCTCTCCGACTTCTCAACGTCTCTCCCTCTACAACAATGTTATTGTTTGGCCCTGAGCCAGGTCATTGTTTCAAGCTGCCTATCTGCTGTAACTTATTCCTCAACCAGTTGGAGGTTATCTGTCTCTTTGAGACTAACAATGCATTCCCAACAAAAGGACTGGTTTGGGGTGTCGGATTTTTGTAGTTTGTTTTTAAAGAGACCTTATTTCTGTCTGATTTATGATACTTACGGTATTTATGTTGTTAAGCAAGTTTTTCTTATAGCCGACACGCTGCTTGTAGCTAGTGTTGCAACAAACAGGCAGGTTATCGATAACAGAATGTAAGAAAATGGTGAAGCATCAGACTTTTCCAAATCATACATTTGTAGAGCCCAAGTGTTCCATCTGACAAACCAACCGGAAATATTCTGTGCAACGTATTCATGGGAATAAGCTTTGAAGACTTAATCACTAATTGAGTCAGATTAACTGATGATGGAAGTGTTTAGTTGCAGCACTACTTTTGAACACTAACTATTTTGCCTTTGAACATTTGTCCATGAAGTTTTGCCTCTTCTACACAGGCCTCAATCAGGTGATGACTCCTGAATGATTTGGCCTTAGAAATCTTGTCTTTTCCATCAGTGTTCTACTGAAGCGGTTCCTTCTGATGGACATAACGTGTATCATTTGCCCACACTTCCGAAAACACGAGGCGAGTATGGGTGGGGGGGATGTTGGGGTAGGCCTCTGATAGCAATCATTTCTCTGTGCACAGTAATTTGGCTGTCAGAAGCAGCTGGCTGTTTGGGTTGGAACAATATGCGAATGGAGGGAGAGGGAAGCGCTGGCTTCCAAAAAACTGTGTGTGTGTGTGTGTGTGTGTGTGTGTGTGTGTGTGTGTGTGTGTGTGTGTGTGTGTGTGTGTGTGTGTGTGTGTGTGTGTGTGTGTGTGTGTGTGTGTGTGTGTGTGTGTGTGTGTGTGTGTGTGTGTGTGTGTGTGTGTGTGTGTGTGTGTGTGAGAGAGAGAGAGAATATCAGGTTACACAGTCTGTCATTAACAAGAGAACTGCAGTTATGAGACCAAGATAGACTGCTTCAAGTCTGAGCAAGAGTCTGAGGCTCATCGCTCTTCGATGTAGGTGGCTCTCAAGATAGGTTAGAAAAGGGGGGGGGAGATAACATGTCTGCCTGTGTGTGAGACAGTTTATTAATGTGTGTGTGAATGTGACTGAGGGGCGGTGTCACTCTGGATAGAAAGAGACAGCCGCTCAACGCAAACTTCACCTATTCAGCTTCTCATCATGTATACATCTGTGTGTGTATACTTCCTAGAAAGTTCGACTAGTAACAAACCTGGCACCAGATGAGGCAGCAGGCTGCAGAGGAGCTCAACGTGTTGTGGGTTCTGAACTTGAATTTGCTTCTGCTCTGTGCTCGTGTCCAGCTTTTTAGAAGGAGGCCCTGTGTCGCAGTGTTATTTTTAGTCAAAAAAAATCCTTGAGCCTTTTTAATAATCATCAGCCTCATGCGGCCCAAACATATCACGGTGAGAAAGAGCTGTCTGGGACTTGCGGGCACTGCAGTCTCAGCACGACACGGGAAGTTAGTAAAAAAGAGAATAAGATAAAAGACTGCCTGTGTTGGTGCCAGATTTGAGTTGTGTTTGCTGTTTGGAGGCTTGCTCTCTTTCACTTTTGGTTGCACAGACTTATTGATTTCTCTCATTCTGTGTTCAAATGTGGATGAGGACGAGTGGAGACAGAGAGAAGGAAGGAAAGATACGACTGTCTGCAAAGACACACACACACACACACAGAGATCTGCAGTGTGCATGGCTCCTCTTTCCACACTAACTCCAGACTGTGCTGGAGACAGTCTGCAATACACATTTCATGAGCCCTTCACTCGCTCCAGTGCTCTTGTTTTATCGCTCAGCTGTAAGTGGAAAAAGTTATGCTTTTGTTTCCCTCGCCGCCTCTTTCTGGTCTCATTTCCCAGCCCCAGACATGGGCTCTGATGCGTTGTGAGAATATTTCTACCAATGTAGAATAATCAGTTTTATTTTCTTGGGTCATAGGGTCGTAAACTGAAGACCTTCTGTGCTCTGTTATGATTGTCGTACTTCAGCCTCACATTGATGGGGCTTTCCATTCCCTATGCTTTGCCAAATGGTACAACATTGGCTTTGAAAGCAGGCTGTGCTCTGCAGAAGCTAAAATCAATATCACAATAAGATTGGAATAACTGCCTTTCCGGATTTTTATCATTTTTACATAGGCACCCTAGCAAAGTATAAAGGCCTTTTTTAAGACGAAATTGCAATAAATATATCTACGAATATATCATAATCTTCGTCTGCACTACAATATAGGGTTCCATTTTCTTCATTTAGTAGAGTGTGATCACACTTTAATATCCACTGACTTATTGCATTACAATAACATTAATTATCATCCGGCTCTAGTGCAAGAACTGTTTATGTCTTCGTTGCCCATTTCTGACTCATCGTTAAATCTTAGGAGCTGTTAACTACTGGTCTTTCCTTAGAAGTCTTTCCTCTCCGGAAGTTCAGGAAACTCTCGGCCATAAAAGCTCCATTGGCAGCAGGGTGCAATCGCTGCGGAGCATAGTGCTGTATGACCGTTCATTGTTTTGTTGCAAGTTGTTTGCCGAGTGATTATCATCGAGGTGGTGAATAGTTTGGTCGATGTCTTTTATATTTGACTCTGACTCCTGGAGCTCAGCCTCCTCCAGGTGGTGCACAGAATCAATCAAGACTAAATATTCCCAGAGCTTTTATTAGCTCTACGCACAGCTATTTACCCTCTTTGCCTGATATACTTGTTTCACGAAAAAGAAAATGTGTTTAAAGAGTGTACAGTGACACAAATCAAGGTGTCCTTTGAGATTAGTATTGCCCCTGGGTAATGAACTTTGGGAGATGGTCGTTTGGAGGGAGAATGTTTGTGCATTCCTCCATTGGCAAACATAGCAGAGGGCCATAAAGATAGTGTTTGAATTGGCTTTGTCAGTTCTTTTGATGACTGTGTGAAAATAGATGTCTAATTGCTATGGTGACCAATGTGTAGAAGACATGTTACCAGTGTCTTACTGTTCACAATGCTGTAAAAGCTTCCAGGTAGTGCCTAAGACGTCACGCACAGATGATAACAAAAGAAAATACTACGTATAAACTTTTGTTTTGTGATAATGTAGATCAACTGTTGTTGGCATTGTCCGAATGGTAGACTCTTCCGCACCCCCAGTCTTTGTTTTTTTAGTTGTGCAATCAAACTGTTTCATACATTATTTAAAAAGTTGGATAAAATTGCTCATCTGTTTTGTGATGGGGGCG